ATTCTGTAGTAAAGTTTGCATTTGGCCCATATATATTGGAACATTTCATTTGTTGCATGAATTAGCCCATGAAATAAGTATAAAATTATTCGATTGTACGGCATAGCAATATTTTGCGATAATGTTAACATCATCTTAGTGCTTCTGTCAGTGCAGTGCTTTGTCTCTTGGGTGCTATGGCAATTACTAGACTTGAAGAGCGAGGGTCCCTCTTGACAAAACGCAAACTATTCTTGACTGACAGCAGTGTTTTCGTGTTCTTGGCATCTATTGAAGGCCTTTAGAAGTGATACAGCTCTTTTTTTTCCTTTTCTTTTTCTGAGATCGTTTTATGCCGTGCCGCTTTGGATCATTTCTTCTTATTTAAGGAATAGATCAATTCCAAATAGCTTGATTTTATATGTCTTTCATTTCAAATATGCGGTCTTCGAGTGAAAGAAGGGCGTGATATTGCAGTGATAAACTCCAAAATAAACACTTAGAGACAAACAAAAGTTGGCAAGTCAGGCTCTTACTCTTTATATCTGAGTTTTGCACTGCAATATCATGTCCTTCAGTAAGTGCCAACTTGTGCTAGAAAAACTAATTATGAAGCGTAAACACAATAGCAAAGTAACTAGGACACTGATGAAACACATTTGATGAAACCATTCTGGTATTCTTGGTCGCAATCGTTGATGTAGCGGTGGTTTAATGAATCTCGCTCACTTTGTTTGAAACAGATGCAGTATTTAGTTCATTTTTATTAGAAACTGCCTTTTTCAGTTCTCGTTAGAATCAGGAATAGTCCCATTTCGATTCAGACTGATTGAGAAGTTAAGGATACTTGGGCATGCTATATGCTCCTGTGAAATTTAGCCCAGTTTAGGTTTCTGTATTTGGATTTTTTTTTTGAAAAAGAACGCCGCTTGTATTCTGCACAACTATTCATCTCTCAGTAAACAAAACTCCTGTTGAATGTAACATGTTTTTTGGCCCTTTCAGGTCCTGTTTAACGAAAGTCTACTGTATTTGTAATCAGGTGCTTATTTTCTGTAATGTGTGTAAGTCTACACAGTAGTCACACTCACACATGGGAATCATAGAGAGAAAGAGTGATCACGTTTTATCATGTGTCCTCAAGGCACGGTGTAAGAATATACAGGTGCTGACACTTTCCCCGCAACGCATTGAAAAGCGCAATTCTAGTGCGTCTAGGTAATGTTCGGGCCATTACCAGTTATCTAGCAGCTTCATCGATTCCTTATTAGATGGCACTGCGATAAGCGGGGTCAGCCGTCTCAGCAGCACTTTTGGCAGAAACGTACACGCTGCCGATCTTCTTGTTATCATGAGTGACCACGTTATTTTGAAGCCAGGTTTCTTTTGGTTCCCGTGTGTTTAATGTTATTTTATCGATAAAGGTGACATAATATTGCTGAGAGGTTCCCGAAATGGGTGGAGCGTGTTTTGTATGTACTGCCGTTCTGGCTATCAGACTTGTGAGGAGGGTGTGCCTTTCTTCAAAGTGCCGTCTGAAAGTGATCGTTGGCATAAATGTGTGAATTACCATAGTAACATCCAGCCATGAACAACCGCATTGCTTTAGGCTGCCGCTTATGAAATACTTGCATGGTTCAAATATTTATATATATTGCGGAACTCCATTGCTCTTGTGTGCTTGATAATGAATACTTGCGCGTTTCAATTATTTATATCGCGTCCACATGGAACAAGCGCAACTATGATTCAAAGATTCCATGTGTAAAAAGCAGCGATACGCATAAAATACGTTTCTGGTGTAGTAACTATCTTCTTTTGATAGAGGCATAGTAATTATTACTGGGTGTTTACGTGTCAAAACCATGATTTTATTACGAGTGATGCCATAGTCGAGAGCTCCTGACTAATTTTGACCATCCGGGGCTGTTTAACATGCACCTGCATCTAAGGACGTGGAAGTTCCTTGCATTTTTCTCCACAGCGAAATATCTTGATGGAGGAATAGCATGCTGGCTAACTCTGTTTTTCAATTGTTTTTCTTTGCATGAAAGAATGCTGTGAACAGACAAAAATACAAGTGCAGGCGAGCGGAATTAGCTTTGAGTTCTCCCCGATCGATCTGTGTTGACGACCTTCACAGCCTGCACAAGGCTGAATGCAGGAACAGCGCAACCTACAAGTAGTCACTTCGTAACTACGGAAGCGAAAAAAACAAGGACAGAAAAGAGTGCTGACTTTCAACAAAGATTTAATATCGGAGTGGTGTACATATATAGGCGAAAAATGAGAAAAATGGGCATGTGTAGAAGGGTGCAGGAACAACTACTGCGATACAATCTCAGCAAAACTCTTGTCTCTAGTTGAAAGGGCTGAGAAAACAAATGCATATGTAACTTAAAAAAGATCAAGATACGCAATCTCCTTTTGCAACAACGCAACCGATGGGCAACTTACACATTTACCGTCAAACTTGTTTATTTGATAAGCTTCAATTATCTCACGCGTGGCCTGCGAGTTGTGCTTGCTTAATACCTCGCCACTCTTGCTAAACCCAGCCACTCTTCTATAGCAAAAGCTAAGTTGAAAGCGAAAAGGCTTTGCAGCTCTCTCGGCCTAGAAAAAGTTGCTAAATGTATTGACAAATCAAAGAAGCTAAGTCTTGACATCTTTTTTACTGCTAAGACGCATAAGATTGACTGCCCACTACGGGTTATAGTTTCTGAGAACGGGACCTGGCAAAAACAGGTCGCTTTGTTTTTAAAAGAACAGCTCAACCTTTTAACTATTGACGATCCTTTCCTGGTAAAAGACTCTGATGCGGTTATTAAGTTTTTAAGGTCTAATTACAAAGGACTGAAGGCTTTCTCAATAGACATGAAAGATCTATATTATTCACTTCCACATAACGAACTGCTCCAGTGCTTAAAAGAATGCATTGATTCGTTTGGGTCGATAAACTTCCAGAATGCGTCAGGTATGCCAGTTCAAGGTTTTCTGGAATATCTTTCATTTTATTTAAAGTCAACAGTTGCATCTTGGAATGAGCAACATTTTATTCAAAAAAGCGGCGTTTGCATAGGTTCCTGTTTGGCACCAGTCCTGAGTGACATCTTTCTCGCGCATAAGGATCGCCACATTCAAAAAGATCTCGACTTGTCTCTCGTTGTGAAGGTCTGTAGGTTTGTTGATGATTTCATTGTATTTATTGATTGCTTGGATACTGTTTTTGAAGTTGTTGTCCTTAGTCTTCTAGATTTGTTTAAGAAGCACTTGTTTCCTCTTGAACTTACGCATGAGTTACCGTCTGGAAATTTGATTAGGTTCTTAGACCTAACGCTCTGTCTTAGAAGTACTCATTTGTGCTGGCTGTTTTCACCGAGAAGTGGTAAACCCCTTTTACCTTTCCACTCAGCTCATTCAAAATTGGTGAAAAAGGGTATCATTAAAGGTTGCCTGGTAAACGCTCTCAAGAGGTCATGCCCGCACTCGGTGCAATGCAGTTTCAAAGCACAGGTAGAGCGCCTCTTAAGCGCCGGTTACTCGAGCGCCCTGATTTCTGCTGTTGTGGAAAAACTTTTGAAGCAAATTAAAATTCAAGGAGGGTGATCTCAGCCTCAAAGCGCGTCTGTTCCCATGAAATATGTTGCAGTTTCGTATATGCATAACGTGTCGCATCGGCCGAAAAAAATCGGTAAACGCGCTGGTGTCACTGTTATTTTTTCCGCCCCAGAAAAGCTTGCAAAGCTTTGTAAGCTGGTGAATAATCCAGCTGCTATTAAAGGAAGGTGCACTGTGAAACACAGAACGCGCTTTGTACCCTGTGCTATTGGTGTCGTATATCTCATTCCGCTTTCGTGCGGAATGGTATACATAGGGCAAACCGGAAGGTGCCTTAATGACCGTTTAAGAGAGCACAATAACAATGTACACAACGTAGTTCAAGGACACCTCGGAATCCACTGCAGAGACTGCGACTGCGTGCCAGTTTTTGAGCGTTGCGAGGTATTAAGCAAGCACAACTCGCAGGCCACGTGTGAGATAATTGAAGCTTATCAAATAAACAAGTTTGACGGTAAATGTGTAAGTTGCCCATCGGTTGCGTTGTTGCAAAAGGAGATGGCGTATCTCGATCTTTTTTAAGTTATATATGCATTTGTTTTCTCAGCCCTTTCAACTAGAGACAAGAGTTTTGCTGACATTGTATCGCAGTAGTTGTTCCTGCACCCTTCTACGCATGCCCATTTTTCTCATTTTTCGCCTATATATGTACACCACTCCGATATTAAATCTTTGTTGAAAGTCAGTGCTCTTTTCTGTCTTTGTTTTTTTCGCTTCCGTAGTTACGAAGTGACTACTTGTAGGTTGCGCTGTTCCTGCATTCAGTTATGTCCTACCAACTTGCCCAAGCTTCCACGCTTCATAACTGCACAAGGCATTTTCGTGTTAATGAATTCTTAAACCTGATGAAGCTTTATTTTTAATCTGAAATGACCAATATCTTTCATGCTTTGAGTGTTAGTCATGCCACTAGGAACGGTAACGTTGGACAGGCAGAGGAATTTTAATGCGCCAGCGCCGCTTAGTTGGGTATGTTGGCCGCGGCGCAATCTGACGGCTAACAGCAGAGTGCGGCCGCGAGATTGAACATTATCTGGCCGCTCACCTGATTATTCTTAAACAATGGCTCAAGGTCATCACATGTCCTGACGTAACTTTTTCTTGCCATCCCTCCCGTGTACATTAACACGCTTGTCAAGAGGAGAGAAGAGAGGAAGCACTTGAAGCATGGGACAAATACTTGTACATCCGCTTTTTCTTGACAGATTCAAGAAATGGCTGTGGCAATCGATTCATGTGGCAATAAGCTTCGATCACTGAAGTCATTTAATGATTATACTTGGAAAATGGTTCAGGGCTCCTTTAAATATAAGTAATTGAAAGGTGTATGTACTATAAAATTGTGCCAATTTTGACTTATTGTACCTTCTTTCTATATATGTGTATTTTTTTCTCACAAGGTATCTTCATGCCTTTTGGTGTTGCCTTGTTGCCATGGATGGGAGCAGCTGCTATGGCACTGTCCTCTGTTTCAGTTGTCACATCATCATTACTCCTGTACCTGTAAGCACAACTTCTTTACATGTTCTTGCTGTTTGCATTGAGCACTCATTGTGTTTTGTAATGTGTACACACATGTAAAAGGTGCACATTTGCTGAAAGTCAATTATGATTTCATCAAAGCTCAAGTTCTCCCCGAAAATATTTTATTAGTGCAGAAAGCATCTTAGGCCAACTGCAACGAAATTGTGCGCACCTCAAAAATCCGATTTATAAGCAGTCTAGCTGGAGGCAATGCTGCCTGCCAAATTTCACCTTTCAAATGCAGGTGATTACCTAAGAAAAAACTTGCCAATAACGCAGGTTTTAATACCGAAGCTAGAAAAAACGACACCATTACAGCCGACCAAAAGTGACGTAAACAGGAGCTCGAGAGACCGGTCAATGCGGCTAATAGTCTGCTGTGCGCTTCGAAATATGCGCTTCGCAGCCGCGCCCCACAGTTTCTTGTTTGAATTGTAATGAAAAAGCAAACAATGTAAACATGCACCGTACAAGATATGTATGATCATAAAAGCTCGTTAAAGTGTGTACAGTCAAATCCTGCTGCAACGAAATTGATGGGATACGTGAAAAAATTCGTTATAGTGAAATTTCATCTATATACAACAAAATTTGGTAAGATCTGATAATTATGTGACTCGCCATTTGGTCCTAGCAAGCGCATGCATTGAACTCTCGCTGATTGAGACGTGCCTGGCCACACACTGAGTGAACATGTTTTCTCACTTAAAGACCAACTCTGGCGATGTTTCGACGTCATTAGATCTTGTTGAAATTAGCTGGGTGCGTACTTTTGCACATTTCCATCATTTATGCCAAATTACAGGCTTGAGAGATTCACTGATTGTTTACAAATGAATTTTAAAGATTGCCTCAAAAAGCGCACCTCGCTTGCCAGAATTATTGGCAACACTGTCTGTGTGACGATATGTTTGGCATGTCAACAAAAGTGATACAGCCGATGGCATCGCTACTTTGGCTGCTACAGTGTTTATTGTACTGGCCATAAGGCGGCGGCGGCGGTGTTTGGCACGGGTATAGCATGGGAAAGCTTTCTTCCTACCTCTGTAGTGTTTGGCCGGCGCTTCGCTGGTCTGGCTTTTACAGCTTTCATACCCCGCGCCGGCAGAACCAGTATATGGCCTCTGGTTTTTACCAAATAGTACATAATACACAGACAGGGTACCCGGCTGGGTTTCGGAATTGCACCTTTTTGCTTATTAAAAATTATTTTCAAATTTCCTGAGCATTTCAGCTATTGGGCTCGTGACAAGAGTGTCTCAGGAACATGGAAACACCATTACCTTGACATGGTTGAAAAATCGCTGGAGTCGGCCTTTAACGGCCGATCAAAATATCAAAATATAGTACCAAATATCAAAATATACAGGAAATTTGGAGCTTAAGTCAGGATGTAGGTTGTACAAGAATTTCAATGCATAAGTTGACTTCACAGCAATGCAAGGAAGGTGACCTTGCGTCAATATGCGGGTAGTTTTTTTTTTTCTTTCACGGTCAGGCTGGCGGTTACATGCAAAAGCGGATTATACAGAAGGAAATGCGATATTCAGAGAACCCTTGGAGCATGCCGAGTGTGCAGCGCCGTGAACGAGCGTGCCAAAGCTTCTCTAGAGGCCAAGTGAAAACTGCAACTGAAAGTGCTGAAGCTTCGCACTACCATGGCCATAGATTGTAGTGACATGTATCCCGAAGGAGTACGGCCACTAGCATGGGTCCGGTCTTAGCAAGCCGCAGGGCACGCATTAACCGTCGCCGTGGCGAGAACACGATACTGCTCAAAGTCGCAACACCAAACGCAGTTCAGCCCGTTGCATAGGTGTGACGGGAAAGCAAATAGGCTTATCCACGCCACGGGCATAAAAGTACTACAGAGGGTCCCATGAGCACGTCTCTGCGGTAAAGGTGATCCACGGAGACACCGGGACCAAGGCCCGGTTGCTCGAGTGAGGGCAAAGGCGCTCGCGTTGGCTTCGGAGGGAGACGTGTCGGCGTAGCTAGGCCACGCACTAGGACACCGTACCACCCTTCGGCCGAGCATACGCAGTAGGGCAACAAAAGGTGAGCCTTCGCCTCGGGCGCGAGGCGCCATCAGCGAAGTTCGATGAGGCCTGAGCAACGGGAGTCGACGTACGGAAAAGATTGCGTGGCTCACCGTCTGCAGTCTCGGAGAGTATCTGCCCGCTCCCGACACAGCCCTACAGTGACTAGAAGGAAAAGTGTGATCGGGGAGCCGTCGCCTACGTACGCCGCGATGATTCACGGCCTAGGTGGCGCTCGCACCCGCTTTCATGTAGGTGCGATGCTGGCGTAGCCATGGCAGCCGTGGGTTTTTATGAATTTTGCGTTAGCATCATTAGTTTTTACTTGCGCTGGCACTTTCAACTAGTAACTAACGCATTTATAGTTGAGTCGTTTGGTAAAAGAATTCGCTGATTGCCTAAACAATTTAGTTTTTCCCCTCTTTTTTTGTGCACCCAGTGTAACACAAACCTCCACACTCTCATCTCCTTTTCTTTATGACATGCACTGCGACTAAGATGAATAGCGATACTGCAAAAATTACCTTCTTACTACTTGCCAAACTTGTTATCTTGGTGGAAAGCTAAAAACACGAAAAAAAAGACAAGAACGCACATGTTTAGCAAACTAAGGCACCAACTCGCCCAAGAACAAGTTCTTGAGTTCCTTACTATTTCTTTGCAATTTCATTATTAAAGAAGTGGTGCCTTCACATTTCCCCAGGATGCAAATACACCAAAAATCTGGTGCCATGACTCTGAAAGTGGCAGGAAAAGGATCACCAAACCGTAGGCGCATGCAACTATTTTTTCAAGCTCAGGAGTCAAAGTACCCAGGTCGACGAAGCCGTCAATTTTACCCGAGCCACCTTTCACAGCAATATTCTCTGCCTACTTCATCTCATCGATGATGAGTTCACCGTGGCATTCAAATTCAGTCATTTTTTTCTGTTTTTTTTTTGGCAATTTCTGAAAGCACATTGCGAATAAAACCAAACGTGCTCCCGTACTGCTTCATGTACTTTTTGAGGCAGCTGCGACTTGGTAGCGCCAAGATTTTTTCTCTATGTATATGCTCATAGAGCCGTGGGCGCTTTATACGTATAATGATGCATTAAAAAAGCCATTCAGGGTTATACTGCATCCCCTTTGGAGATTTTCGTGTCGCAGCCTCAAAACACCGAATAAAGGTAGCCTTCTACTTAGGTGTAAGCTGGCCAATTTTCTTAAGGAGGGTAAATTCTTCAATCGCCTCATTTTCTTCCTTCATTTGGGAGATCACTTGCTCTAGCAGCGTCACCTTGGTTCCAAGGCGTCGCATTGCCCGAGTCTTCGCTCTCAGCTTTGATGAGATACTTATTCTAGTATTCTTGGTTTGCTTCGCTCGGCACCTTTGGTTAATTAGGAGTCTCCTCAGATACTGCACGACACGCACCATTTCTCACTTTGTCTTGATACACCTTTACACTTAATGTGGTACAGAGTATCATTTTATTGCTTCGAATTTGCGTTGGAGCACGCTAGCAGAAACTCCGCACTCAGTCCTGCTCCAGTGCAAGCACGCAGGCTGTCGACCTCTTGCAAAACAGATGCTGGATCTCTTGGCACATCAAGCGCGACCTCGACAGCCCGCACAAACACTTCATGTTTTATCACACTTTCGATGCATCTAAACACCACCATTTTCAGCGCATGAAGCAGGCTCATGTCTTTTCTAGGTAACCATACGCTGTAGGCCACGTGAAGGGTATTCTCGCTGAATACGTGCTTCGCCCACTGGTTGGTCAGAAGTGGCGCATTCAGGACTTCTAGAACATGTGCAGCTGGAGCATCAACAGTAGCACAGACTTCTTCAGCCTCAACAACTTCAGAATTTGGGCAACACGTTCCGTCCATGCGACGTCTTCTTTTGGGCGACGAGAGATGTGATGCTGGCTTCTCCCGTGCACTTCCTTTCTTCGGATGTGGCTTCGAGATGTACTTGGGCAAATTATGAAATATAGTCGGCACAGCGTTTGGCAGGACCTGGTCCGACCAATGCGCACCGATTCGCCTTGTATTACATGCTCGAAATGCCGCGACACAAACTGCTGATCAAAATGCAACTGACATACTGCTGCATTTCTCTCCAGCGGCCTGTCAGCTCTGGGTATGTTTCGTTGCCACTTCAGAAACAGCTCATCTTCTTTAGGTACGCTGAACAATGAAAGTTTTTGCTTGCAGGATTTGTAACCAGTCACGCAGCCGGGAACAAAGCAGTGGCTTGGTCGCCGGCACACTTTACAAGCCTGGCCAGCGAATTGCCCCACATACTAGTGCAAACTCCTCTAGGATGCTTACAAAGCACTGCGAAGGCAGCTAACCATGTCGACAAAGAGTTTCACACGTATTAAGCACTTTATGAACACGTCAAAGCTCAACTGATCGCTCCTGACCGGACAAATGCACGCGAGCTTAACGTGTATGCGACAGCGAGTGCCACCTAGCGGATGCATAGCTAAGCGGCGTCAACCCTTCCCATTGACGCCGCTTGACGGTAATCACACTTCTCCTTTTAGCCACTGTAGCAGCGCGCGAAAACCTCTCAAGAGACTACACGCGCGGCGCCACAGTCAACATCTGCTACCGGGTGAGAATGTTAAACATCACTCCACTCTCAGCGCGGCAGACAGCGAGGAGGAGAGACATGTCGGGACATGAGAACGGCAGAAAAGGCGGCAAAGCCCGCGCAAAGGCAGCGGGCTGGCCTCATTTCCCACAAGATGAACAACAGGAAAGTCGCAAGGCTTCTTGTCGTTTTATAGTTTCATTGCTTTTAATCTACAGCTCTGTTAGCTGCGCAACTTCGGATCATATTTGCTATTGATGAACACAACGATAGTGACCGCGGCTTTCTGTTAAGCGGTGGCAGCAAGCAGTAGTTTTGTTTTCAATCTGTGCGCACTGCGCTGGCTGTGTTCA